CTGTTGCCAATGAATGGAAAACCAACATTTACAAATAATTACAATATTGGTTTTGCTGAAATTGCCCATAATGATTTCAATCCCAGCAGCAGCCACCCCAGAACCTTGGGACCCTCTAAACCATTTCCTCTGCTAATGCATTCAATTAGGCAGCGAGCCTCCTTAAATGCGAGGTCCTGTTGCTTCTGCAATACCCCTCCCTTGTCAGGCCTTCCTTTGTGCGGAGAGCAAAGGAAAGTTTCATTAACACCATTTCTAATCTTTAAGGAAAACAGACAGCAAACATTTGAAGATGCCTAAGACGATTGTTTTAATAACTTCTCTTTCCAAATCTTAATGCATTTATCAAAAATTATAGGACCATCAAATTGAACCAAAGCTTGCTTTAGTTGAAATACTGTCATAGGAGACATTGTACTACTGTCCAAGGACCCCACTATCTTTTTAATGGTCATAACTACATGTATTGTTTTTATATTGGGCTGACTAATCATGTCTCATTCACCTTTGAGATGTCATTGCCTGATAGACAACTTGTGAACACTCCGTACAACACATATTTGTAGAATTAATCAGAGGCAAAGCTCTCTAAATGATAACTTAAATATTATATGTTATAAAGTGCTCTAAGTTCTATAAGAAAAAAATATATATCAGAACAATCCAGTCAGATGCAATGATAGCAAATTCTAATGTTCTAAGTAAGACAAATGTTAGAACTATGGTACAGAGTTTAGAGGGTGTTGGGATTCCATTTATATTTTTTTCTGAAACAAATCGGAAAATAAGGAAAAACTTCATCAAGATTCCTGGGTTCTGCAGGAATTCCTGGAAGAGATTTCCATTCACACGTCTTTAAAGAGACTTCAAAGTCTCTCTTCAAAAATGGGACTACTTTGAGAAAACTTTTTTTAAAAAATGTGAAGCAAGAAGTTGATAACTTTGTGCCTTGGAGATATGGAATTATTGATCTTAGGGTGTGTCTCCAGAAAAAAAAAATGGCTGAAAGTTTCATATTATATGTTCTGCCTCCCAAGGTGTCATGAGGAATAACCAAGGCATAGTTGGTAGTCCACTGGTATGATGACATCACTGTTGCCATAGTGGCAGTGATGGAAGGGACTCTACATTTGACCCTAGATTGCAACTGTGGAGACTGAGGGCAGTGATGTAGCTAAAACTTCAGACCTCCCGTGAAGCTGAGTTCAGAAGGTGTGTCGTGGCATTGATTCTGCCTTGGACACCCATAATGCTTCATTGGGAGAGGAAATAGTGAAGATGCTCTAGCAAAACTGCGCTGTGGGCTCACCTCTGCCTCACTCCAAGGAGGCCTAAGGCAAGGCTGTGGTCGCCACCTGCTGGTGGTGTTCAAAGGGCCACTGACTCTGCCTGATGAATCCCCTCCCTTAGTAGACAGACTTCCAACAAAGACCATACTATGATTCCCAGTGCAGAAAGGTGTAATGCGTAATGTCCATTCCCATTGTGTCCAGGCCAATCAACCATCCCAGGGTTTCTTGAGATGTTGAACTTGCAGTGCTAAAATCTGGAATGTTCCAAGCTCCATGGATAAGTTGGTCTCTGATTCAGTCAGAGAAAAGGACTTGTCAGGTTGTACCTTGGCTCTCCAGCAATGCTGTGTTCAGCATTGTACACCTAGAAACCCTATCCTACCCTAAAATAGACTACTTTGAGACCCTTTTGAACATTGGACAGTTTAATGATATAGACACAATTGAATTATTGCTTAATAGAAAAGCCCAAAGGAATTTGAAAAGCCTGTATTGACATATCTAAACCAAGTTTCTAAATATTTTCTGCTAAGTGGTTAGGGACAGTGGCTATATCATGGCTTACAAAATAGAACAAGTCTTTGTCTGAAACCCAATTATCTTAATCGTCCTGTTTTTAGGTTACTTAAATTCCTGATTGTAGAAAACAGACATCAGGACTTTTCTTAAATAACCCTCACACATCAAGATTATGAGCCCTCCTAGTTACAGCTTGTATGCATCCCCATTACTTCTTACTATTGCACAAACTTAACCGTGCACATAGATCACCAAGGAATCGTGTTACAGCCAGAGTCTGGGCTTCTAACCAGTTCCAGGTGATGTGCACTGTGCACGCTGCTGGCCCAGGAGATGGGTGGTAGATCTCTGGGTAACTTGTACCAAGCTGGAGGCTGTCAGCATAGCTGAAGAAGACCAAAGCTAACCCCAGTTTTGTCAGCAGCCTTCTGTATATGGCCAAGGGTGCAATGTGAGGTCATTAATTCCCCAGCCTGGTGGCAAGTTCTCTCCTGGCTCTCCTGTCACATGCCCATGTTTCAGTGACCCACCTAGAAAGTGACTACGGCCTCCCCAGGAGGTCAGGAAATGGATCATAGAGGTACCTCCTCCCAGGAAGTCCCGGATCCTCATGTGTTGGGTCTTAATTCAACCTTATATTAGATATTTCTCCCCCACTCAACAGTAGTTTCTCAAAGTAAATCAACATCTTACTGCAGAGCATTCCGGCCCTGGTGGTCTATCACTTACAAGTTCATCTTCTTTTCCCACTGGATTTATAGTGCTACCATCTGAGTGAGTCTAAACTCCAAATAAAGAGGAACAGGCAACTTTATTTTTCTCGTTGTGAGATGTTAAAGCCATTTCTACCCTCTCTTCTCCCTCAAAGAAAAAGACCATAATAATTGTTGCTTTAATACACTAAAGAGTCACGATCACTCATTCAACTGAGTCATAAATGTAGTTACACTCATAGGAAACTTGCCTATAGCAATCGTGTTTTATTTAGCCACAACTGGAAAGCTTATTTTTGAAGTGATCCTAAGCAATAAAATTTAATTCATGAAAAGCTAGTTGCAAGAATACAAGCTCATTCACTCCCATCAGTGACCAGAGGCCCTGGGGAATCTCGGCTGAGTGATGTACCCAGGGATAAAAACACAGGGCTGTTCTGAAAAATAATTTTATGTGTATACATTTTCTACTCAGACCTTCATACTTGCCCATATTTCAAGTGGTCCGTCAAGATGTGTCAGGTTTATAGACATCAAGCCTGCAGTGGTGGTAGGTAATGTGAGTCCCCGTGAGGGAGCCAGAAAAATCTGTGCTCGCAGGGAGTGTTACCCAGAGCACTCTCACAAAGCACTCTCAGCTAAGTCAGAATAAGGCAGCCAAGCAAGGTTCAAAGTTCTATATTTATTTCTTTTTAACCATTTGAATTTCTGAAAAGGCAAGAAAAGTGCCCAGCCCCACCGCATCACTACATCCCATTTTGATGGGTCCAGTTATTCCATGGGCCCATATTTCATGTAAATTCACTGGCTATTTCAGGGGAACCCAGTGCACCCAAGCTTGAAGGGCAGATGGGAGAGGATGGGAACTCCATCAAGGTGAATCTGATCAAGCAGGATGACGGAGGATCCCCCATCAGACACTATTTGGTCAAGTACCGAGCGGTAAGTAGCCTGCTTTCCCAGACTCCTCCCAACCCTATGACCCTGACACCTGCCTTGTTGGAACAAGAATTTGAGAATCCCGATGAGGGGAGAATAGAACAGGGTCTCACTTTTCTAGAGATTCATCGGCCTTGGTCAAGGTTTTAAATTCCAAGGCTGACCTGCACCTGTTGGGCCATGCCCACATTGAAACCATTTGAAAACTTCTACAAGGACAATGAAGTCACCATGATTTTTCCGATTCTTCAATTTTTCTACAAAGTTTTTTGGCCGTGATCCAAGACTTCTGTGCAAAATTGTCATACTGATATCTGACAGCCACATTGATAAAGTGTGTGTTGTGATCTAGGTGCTGTGTTAGGGCAGATTTTTTGCACAGATCCCCATGAAGTGGGTATTACAGTTAGTCACACATGTCATGAAGCAACCGGCTATAGTAACCGGTGGTCTCATGCATCTGGGTGAGCCCAAGTTTGAATCCAGACCCATCTAACTGAAGATCCTGGGCTCTTTAGCCCACTCAGGACTGCTTTGAGATCCTAAGCAATGCTGGTTCCCTCACCCACTTTTCTTGCTCCTCAGCTGGTCTCATTTGCTAACAGTGAACTTGACACTGAGCTCCTTCTGGCTCACTCACCACCCATCTAAGATCTCCACCATACCAGTTTTCATCCCCAACCCCAAAACTGAGACTCACTCTCTCCTTCTCTGGTTTTAGAATAATATTGAAAGCACTCGCCAAAGGGTTCAGAGACAGTTTCTGAACATCAGGAATAGCCTATTCCTAAGGTTTCTTAGTGATAGAAGATAAAGAACCCGAAAGCACCTTACTTTACCCATGAAGCCCCCAAATAAGTTTTTTTGGTTTTAGGTTTGTTTGTTTTTGTTTTGTTTTGTTTTGTTTTGAAGAAGAAGCTTTTTTATTCCCTGCTTGCCATGTAATCAGCTTGCTCCCATGGAAATATCATGTGGACCAGCACAGAGGCCTACAGGTTCACCTTGCCACCAGGGGTCAGGCTTTCCAGCTACTCAGCCCTTCACATTGAATTTCTAAGTCAAGTATGAGCTGACATCATAGAAGAAGCCTCAGCTGACTCCCCTAAGACCTAGCCCAGAGGTACCACTGTATGATACGGGAGGTCCTGTGGTTTCCTTACTGCAGAGAAGGACGCCAGAACTTGGGAGGGAGCCCTGCATAGCCTACTTGAAACAGATGTGGTATGGTGAACCACCTCTGACCATTATGAGCCTCAAATTCCAGCATTACTGTTTACCAGCATGTGACCTGATATGTCTTTCCAAACCTCCATTTCTCCATTTCTCCATTTGAGAAATGAGGGTAAAATAACTTGCTAAGCTGATAGAAATATTAGTTATAATATTTGCAAAGAACCCAAAATGTGCCTGACACTTGGAAGCCTCCATAAATGGGAACTATTAATTTTTGATACAGGTTCTAGCTAGATATACCCGCTCCCCCAAAAAGGACATCTCCAATGTCTGTTTTCCTGAACAGTCACTGTGACTGTGTTGAAGACAGTAGAACAAAATGCTGAGTTATTTAGGATTTCAACTTGAACCACCCTCTTTCACACGCAAGCTTAACGTTTGCCAAATATGATCATATATTATTAATATGTATTATACAGTGTAAAGTTTGCTCTATTGAATGTTTACTTTATCCTTTGATTGTCTCTTTTGTAATGATGTTTGCCAAGGAAGACAGAGAAAGAAGAGCAAAGACGGGCAGCTCAGTTTCTTAGTTTTAAATTAAAAGGGCCTTGTAGCAACAGATGCAAAGCTAAGCTACATCACTGCTCAGGCTTCCTGGTTAGACTGTAGGGCACACGACTTCCCTTCCTAACATCTCCTCACAATAGACACAGCCCAAGTATGAGCATTTTCATGTTCCTAAAGACATCTTTATGACCAATAGCAACTGGTTTTCTTGGTAAGATCTCTTCCTCTAGCCTTAGTCTAGAGCCTATGGTGGTTACTAGACCACCTCCCACATGACACTACTGCCCTGTTCTGCTCCATTGTTCAGTAAACATGTGTCAAACCTCTTGGGCAGCCTGCATATACCTTAGGCATATATGCCTTATGAAAAACCAGAGATCGTGAAGTAGTACACTGTGCAGCTGGAAAACCATCTGAGGACTTCTCAGAAAGTCTTCAAGTCCTCTCTCACATTGTTTTGTTATGAAGATAATTGCCTAGCAATAGCTTTGGAAACTCCCTTCCAGGACAGACTCATTGACAAACATGGAGGCTATAACCAGAGGAATGATTGGAACAAAAAAAGGGGGATGCCCCACAAACCTCACAACTCTCCTTAGGATCTGAGCAGTGTTTGCTGAGTGGGACACTCCTTGGAGGCCCTCTGAGCATCCCAGTCTTGAGCCCGACAGCCAAACATCTTATTCAGTTACAGTTGTAAGGCCACACTACATGAAATAGGAAAACCCAATTCAGTTCAACCTGTATTTGCTGAGCTCCCTATTATGAAATAGCAAAAGGCATTCTGGAGCTTGACTGACTGGGCTCCAGCCCTGACTTTGGGAAGTCACCTAACTTCTTCCTCATGTCCCTTTCATAAGATTAGTAAGAGCCTGACAGACTTATTATTATAGGGTTCCAATGAGAAAATCTGTAGACAGCCTTCGTAGCAGTACCTGGCCTATAGCAGGTACTTCATAGACAATGTTCTATATTTTAGAAAAGTAGGAATCTATATGATAGTCATCTGTGAGAAAGGTAAATCACACCACATGTAGGCAGCATCCTGGACTATGACAAGAAACATTTGTTTATGACTCTGCCAGGAAGCCCTTGTGCCTATGCACCCAGCATTCCAAGGTATAGTCTGGGACAGGTGAGGGTTGGTGAGCTCCAGCCTGTCATGAAGTTAGTAGAACAGTGGAGTCAGCACCATACCACACTGGCATTCACTACTGATAGTGATGGCAAGCATGCTAGGTTGCCCCCAAATATGAGAAGTCCCCCTGGCTTCCTACTATGACTTTGCCCCCCAAGTTTGTGCCTCTTTGTCAGTCTCCCCAGCATTCTTACTCAGTCTCCCTGGTATCTTGTGTCCTTCCTGCCAATTGCTCCCAGAAGCTCTCCTCCGAATGGAAACCAGAAATCAGGCTCCCATCTGGCAGTGACCACGTCATGCTCAAGTCCCTGGACTGGAATGCCGAGTATGAGGTGTATGTGGTGGCTGAGAACCAGCAAGGGAAATCCAAGGCGGCTCATTTTGTCTTCAGGACCTCGGCCCAGCCTACAGCCATCCCAGGTACAGCCACCTCTGTTTTCTATCTGTTTCCTGCTTTGAATTAATGCATACATGCCGCGCCTCCTAATGAGCCTGAACAACCCTGACAACTCGCTTGCTTACAGCTATCCTCATGACTGGTTGCCCATGCAAAGCTTAGTTTTGCCTTATCCCCATCTGTGCAGCAGGTTGACAGGTCCCAGACCCCCAGGAGAGTTTGGCCAAGCATCCTGGGGAAAGGGTCCTGTCTTATTTGGCCTTGAAAGGCCAATGCTGATCAGTCCATGGGACTCCCCTAAGATGGGGAATGTCCCAACTCCTGCCTTGCCTTGGACGCTGGTTGAGCGAGGATCCTTTTCGAGACTTTATCTACCATCTGCATTCAGCACTAGGACCACATAACTGGTTTATGCTGTTTCTATGTGACACTTGCTTTAGCTGTACAACCATGGTGTAGATCTCTTCTCTATGGTGACCCCCAAGAGAAGGAAGAGATGGTGCCCAGGTAGTTCCAAGCCTGTCTGAAGGACCTCTCCATTGACTTAGATTGAACCTCCTGAAATAGAGCAAGTGGAAAAGATAGATGCTGAGAAGCACCATCGATGAAGGCACCCAGTCTGCTAGACCATGGTGGCAGCAGTGTTCCTAGGAGATGCAGATCTGTCTCTAGGGATCCAAGACCAACTCAAGTGTGGGAATAAAGTGAGAGTTCTGCTTTCTGGCCCAGCCACCTTGTACTGATGGCTAGTCCCCCTCATTTGTTCAAATCTCCCCAAGAAGACAGAGTTCTTCATCCATCACTTTGCTTTTCCAAGGCCAGCCAGATGCCAGTCATAGGCAGGAGAGGTGGACCATAGTTCACACAACTGCAATCCATTGGAAGGGGCCACTATGCTCTGCCATGTTCAGGTGGTAGGAACACAGCCTTCTGCCTGTCCTGTCTGGAGAGGTTGCCCAACTGCTGAGCTCCATTTTCACGATTGTTCCTCCCAGGGGTGAGTCCAGGTCAGAGAGGTGATAGACTGCCTGTCATGTAAGGCTGTATGTGCCCAAGTGATACAGACAGGTACAAGAGCCCAGTGTGTGATTCTCCATGGTTGTTTGTGTATGAGTGGGTGTGTCTGGGAGACGTGGGGCCTCCAGCAAGTTAGCAGGTGAGTTTTAAGCTGTATATCAGAAGTATTAATTGCTAAATTGCATTGTGGGGAAGGCTTCCTAGCTCAGGCTGGGATGGGTGTGTCTCTGTAAGTATTAGACACAAGGTATCTGGATGTGGCTACAGGAAACGGCCTCACTGACGCTTAGTAGCATGTCCAGATAGAGATAGCCCTACTTTTTCTCTGTCCCTTCTTTGCTTGTGTTCTTTGGTGAGTTCTTCCTCGAAGTTGTCGGTGTGCAGTGAGTGTCTAGATCCACCTTCGAGAGACACTTAGGATATGGGGAAATGTGAAGCTTGAGTAAGCCCTTTGTAGTACTTCCTAAGCCAGTTCTTCACTGGGGTGAAACTTAATAAGCAGCTAGGTACTGCCAACAACTTCTACTGGAGTTAGGTATCAGAGACAAAAGTGCTAGGGAGCCCTTGTCTTCTAAAGTCCTTGTAGTATGTCATACTGGCTCCCACTTAAGCAAGAGTATTGAGAGATGCTCGCCTTGTCCACAATGGCTCTGTGACTAGTGGGCAGGTATTAGAAGGAGGTGGCCTGTGTTTGGTTTGCCTATCTTAGCCGTTTTATTGAGCTCCAAAACAAAAGCCTCTTTGCATTCCAAAGTGTACGTTTGTAGTTAAACTGTATGGTCAGCAGGGTGGTAGAAGGTGAGATGCTCAGGACCCTTTATCAGCATGATGGTGGGGCTTATGCAGTAGGAAAAGAGGTCTGCTTCAGTTCTACAAAGACCGCCCTACTGCATGCCCAGTGTTCTGACCATAGTGCAACTATCCATTGTGTCTCTGCTGCTACAAGCAAAATTCCAGACACAAGAAGAACACACTCCTTGGCTACACCTCCGAAGCTTCGCCTTAGTGACGGTAACACTCTCCTAACCCGACCCTGCTGTTCGATTGCGCAGGCTCCTGTTCTCTCACTTTAATTTCATCTGCTCGCTGGCCCCTAACCCCGATGAACCCTGCTGTGCTGCTTCTGCCATTGCTGAGCTTTGGACCTGGCCTATGATGCTCATACAGCAGTGAACTCTCCTCTAACTTTTGTCAGCCTAACTTACTAAGTAGAATTAACCTTGGATTCTTGTGTTTTCTATATTTGACCTATTTTTTTTTCTTTTTTTATCTATTTTTTTCCTCTTAACCCCGATGAACCCTGCTGTGCTGCTTCTGCCATTGCTGAGCTTTGGACCTGGCCTATGATGCTCATACAGCAGTGAACTCTCCTCTAACTTTTGTCAGCCTAACTTACTAAGTAGAATTAACCTTGGATTCTTGTGTTTTCTATATTTGACCTATTTTTTTTCTTTTTTTATCTATTTTTTTCCTCTGTTTCTGTCTCTGCCTTCTCTTTCTTCCCCTCCCACCCCCTTCCTGTGTCTGTCGTCACACTTGTCACCTTGGACGTCACTGGGACATCCCCACTGCCACATTTATGTTTCAACAACCACCTGCAGCTACCCTGGGGGGCAATTCTGCCTCCTACACTTTTGTCTCATTGCTTTTCTCCGCAGTGGCTCTTCTTTTGCTCTGTTAGGAAATTGAACATACACCCCCCCCACACACACACAATTAAATTTGCTTAAAAGTCCAGTTCCTATGAAAATGATCGGTTGTCCCCCTTTGGAAGAACCTGTCAGAACCACAATGGCCCAGGCTTTGCCACTGAGCAAGCGTTCTATGTGGAAGAAGAAGGTTTTGCCATCGGAAAGACTTTATCTCTTAATATCTTGCCAGTCAGCGATACTTTTGTGCCAGATACTTCCTAAGGAGTCTGCCCCACCTTTAATAGCAGTTTAAAAAAAAGAATTTGAGAGATCTTTCTTTCAATACTATCTTTAAAAAACAGCATCATGCTAGGTTTACAGAGAACTGTCTACTACCTGCTACTTGCTGCATCGTGTTGGTGGTGGTGTTCATACCTAAAGAGTAGCAAAAACAGAATCCAACCTTCTAAAGTGTGGCTCAGATTATTGAAATCAGCACACGCACCCCTCATTCTAACCCTGTGCCCTCCTCTGCCTTCCGATAGGTAGCTGGCTTCACTTGCAGTTAAATATTTAAGTGCCCGTGTTGAAAGAGCCTCCTGTGGTGACTCACCTGAGCACTCTGCTGGCATGATGGGCAAATTAAGTCCCCCTGTTGCCCATGCAGTACGAGAAGTTATATTCATTGGATATTTTCTGGGGCTGATGAACCTTCGGGAAGGTACTTTAATGCTGGTGTTACCCCCAGCACCTTCTGCTGTCTCTGTGAAGAAGGCCAAACTGTGAGGTACCCAGTACCAATTGGCTTTTAAAAGTATCTGACTCCTGGCAGAAATAATTCCTCCACTGCATAGTAGCAGGCTTAAGATAAGCACAAAGCCTGGAGGTCCTGGGGGCTGTGATCCAGCCATGACCTGTATCGTCACCATAAGCGCAGTATGCCAGGCAGGTTGAAAGCCTTCACTGTGAACCGGCATAACCCCTGCCACCTTCCCACATACGCTCCAAAGTACACAAGATGAGGGAAGGGTTGAGAGACAGACAACTCGCCCACAGTGTCAATAAAGCTGGGCAGAGTCCATGCCTGTCAGCACTTCAAGAATGCCCCCACCTGCCCTTAATGGTCTCTTGGTTTGGTGACACTTTTAGAATTCTTGTGAAAAAGCTCCTATCTGCTGTTGTGGGTTTTGCCCAGGAGAGGGAGTGGGTATGTCACAGTTAGATGCATGGAGACCCAGGGCAGAATCCCACCCAATAATATCAGCGTGTGAACTTGAGGATGGACCGTCTGCTGAATAAAAACTGCCCCCCATTGTGACACCTGTCATTCTGTCTCACCTCTGAACATCTCCACAGAAGTTTAATTTACATTCTGTTTGGTTCTCTCTCTCTCTATTTTTTTTCTGTCATTATTGTTTAATAGTCAACAACTAGCCTTTCCCTTTGGGAATCCAAACCACCCTGAGCTGTGGTCTGCAGGCAGAGCCACTTGTGTTGGCACCTGCTGCTCGTCTCAGTGTTCAGTGCAGAGGCTTCACACTGCTCAGTGGCTCAGACTGGCAGTGCCTCTTGCTCACTGTGAACCCCACCCTGGACCCTTGACTTCTTTCCACCAGCACAGTGAAGCAGGATGGTTCTGGGACACATGGCAGTGCAGCAGAGAGAGGAACATGGTGCCCCAGGGCTTGGCAAGAGAATCACAGGTCAGTTAAGAAAAGCTGCTGAGAGAGCAGGAGAGGTCCCATTTATGGTCTCCTGGATCTCTTGATGACCCTGGGTAGATGTCATATGCATTCGTTAGAATTCAACTCTAATGGGTCTGCCTCAGCCTGGTGCCAGACCCATTCACAGGAGAGGAACAATGTCAGTATTTCTAAAGGGATCTTTGGAGGTCTAGCCCTAAACATAGAGAGGCCTAGCATGGCCCTGTGCCCTCAGCACACCACAGGGCCCAGCAACTCTTGGCTGGAAGACCTCTGGGCTTATTGCACCAGGCCTGTGGCTTATAATGGTGCACCATACAGGAGACAGTATTACCAGCCCCCACCAGCCACTGAGTTCCCACCGTGTTCCCCCATGAAGGCTATGGCTCCCAGCCCAGCCAGAAGTCCTTATACAGCCTCTAGGTAGCCCCAAGAGAGGGAGCTCACCCCACCTTGCTCAGCCACCCCCATCTCTGCACCATGTGCCAATGTTGCCCATACACTGTATGCAATGGAGCTTCTCTGCTCATTTTTGGAATATTTATACAGCAGGTTCAGATCATGTTTTTCTACTAATACGAATGCTAACGTCGTTGTGTAGATAATCAGCCAGACTTTATGAAGTTTACACCTTTGCATTATTAAAGGATATAACAGTTCATGTGAACTCAACAGCGTGCTTTGATTTTATTTGATACTTGTGTCCAAAACGGTGCCCCAAACCCTTCCCTCCACCTCACATACTTGATCACTGATTCTATGGAGAGATATTTAAATTAGACCTCACACTTGCAGCCTGAGGAGTAGAGTTCTAACCAAAGGAGGTGCTTTCCCTTTCTCATGAAAATCCCTGTGCTTTTCTTAGTAATCCTGACCTGTGTTATGGCTCCCAGCTGCCTGGAATCCTCAGCAGAGAGTGGGAGGGAGGTAGCCTTTGCAGAACTGAGGAGGAGGCGGTCACTCTGAAGAACACAGCAGCATATTCCAAGCCAAACCAGATGCACAGCTCTCTAGCAAGTTCTTCTAATTGCTTAGCAACCTTTTCTCCTCCTAATAGAGTGTATACAAGGATCTTGTGATAGAAACTGAAGGAAGGTTCTGTTGACAAATTAGATTCTGTGTTAACCAGTGCCAGGAAGGAACAAGCAGATATATAAGGGGTTTATATAATTTCAGCCATTCTGATAGTCTTATGGTCTTATTGAGGTTTAGGGAACAGTGACTTCTGTACCCCAGGGCCATGGTGCAATGGCTCAGGCCCACTTGGGCACCTGGAATATGTGAAACCCATTTGAAAGTATAGGAAAGGAGGCATGTGTGGGCCTCAGTCTTGCAACAAGCCAATTCCTGCTTTCAGTGTCAAGGTCTCCAAAACCAGGAACCACCGACGACAGCTCCAGCCAGGTAGTGTTCGAGACAGCTCACCTCAGAGGATATGGAGAAGCTGCCTCCAAGAAGCCTTTGTATCAAGGCACCTGGTTGAGCTAGTCAGGGAGGTCAAGGGGGAAGCCACAAAGGAGACAGACTCTGAAAGGTATTTTTGCTATTCCTTTTGTGATATCTTGTGGGCTGTAGAAGACTAAGGGGGCTTTATCCCCCTAGTTTTCTTGGATTAAATGATTCTGTAAAATCGACCTCAGGGGTGTGAATTTTCACTCAGTCCCGTACCCTTTAATTTATGCCATAGCCTATCTCTCGTTTATACCTCCCTCAATGCCCAACATCCTCTCTCCAACTTGAGGAGCACCTCACTTGTCTTAGAGGTCTAAAGTCTTAGAAGTGGTAGACCAGATGGCTTCTTTCTTTTAGGAAAGAGTTTTTACCTTCTCTCACCATATTTACCACATTAGGCCAAGTCCATTATGTCCAAGGCATGGGACAAGAGGCACATCTCCTCCTTGGTGATGGAGCCTAGGGTCAGCTGTGAGCCACTGGAACGAAGAAGAGAGAAAACCTAAGACTGGTGGCCCTCATATGACTTATCAGGTGTTCTTGCTCAAATCCTGATTCCTGAGCCTCACTCCCAGATTGTGATTCCACAGAACTGGGGTGCCCCAGATTCTGAATTTATAAGAAAACACGCTGGCATTCCACTGTAGGTGGAGAATCACTACGTTGAAAGTTATTTTGTTTTCTTTTGCAAAACTAAAAGCACAAGGATCAATAATTAAAGATAGGGTCTACCAATCTTCCAGGAAAAAGTCCCTCCTGATATACAGTATAGACTGGCATCTGAGAACCAGTATCCTATGCAGAGTATTGTTAGAACCTCTGATTTGGAGTGAGAGGCAGGTTTGAAAAAGGCTTGCAAACCATCCCCTACCCGGGCCCTTTTCGATACAGGTGTCTCAGCCACAGGATTGCCGCATCCTTGCCAAGGGACTGCCCTGTCCCTGCCTGAATGCTTTTAGCAACAGGTAACGCTCTTCCCATGGCAGCTCACACTTTTTGACTTCCTCTGCTTCTCCATCCTTCCTCAAATGGGGGCTGCAGCCTGCCCTACCTGCAAAATTAGCATCTACTGCTGCTATACAGAATAAGGGTAATTCTTCCTTCTTCTGACACACATTTAACTATTTGGGGTGATGTTCTCATTTCCAGTCATCCAACAAATAGTCTGTGAACATTTGCCCTAAATCAGGGTCACTTTCTAGCTGCTGGGGAGACAGAAGACAGGACACCTGCTGAATGTTAGAGAATAGTGAAGTTATTCAGAGATAGTATGCGTATAAATGAATGGAAAAATTGGTGGACGGTGGCAAGAAGAGAGTGGAGTACAGTGCTTGGTAGGGATCAGTGGAGACCTCTCCAAGAAGTTGACATGGGACTGAATCAACCAACGAGACCCTGGCGAGGTACAGGCTGGCATGTTCATCAAGCTGCATGCAAAGGGTCTGGGGTGGAGAACATCACTAAAGGTTATGCCCTGAATTACAAGGGTCAGAGGGCTAGACAGAAGCCATAACACCTGTAGGGCCTGGTAGGCCAGAGAAAGGGAGACCACTGTCCTACTTTTTGTTTATGTCACTGTACAGTGTCTTTCCATCCTTGGGTACTTCCCCTTGAATGTGCTCAGAACCACTGTAAACTCCAGCTGGATCTGCTGAGCCCAGAGCAGAGGCTGCCTCAGCTGTTACACTCTCACACACAGAAAAGCTTTTCCATAGTTCATTTTTCCTCTTTAAAGATATTGAGTAGTCACATAAGACTATATTTGTGAATAGAGCTCAAGATACAGAAACTTTACTATTGAGATGGCCAAGGTAGCTCATGCCTGTAATCAGAGCTGAGACAGCAAGATTGCCATGAATTTGAAGCCAGTCTGGGCTACGTTGTGAGTTTCAGGCCAGCCTGGGTTACAGAGAAGTAAGACTTGGTCTCAAATAATTTTTCCTCTGAAGGGCGCCATTAATTGCAAAAAGACATAAGTACCCCCCTACCAAAATCATCACCTCCTTCTTCATTGAAGCAGCACAGACATCAGCACTTCATACCTACAAGGTGCTGATGTCAGATGGCTGCAGTGGCTTCAAGCCAACATCAAGGAGGAAAGAAGACTCAAGGCTAGGATGACTTTCCTATTTGGGAAACCTGCTTGGGATTCTAAAGATTAGGAAGGCGTGCATCCCCTGCATTGCCTTCCCTTCCTCTTCCATGAGTGAGGACCATGGGGAAATTCTCAGATTGGCTGCTGGTAAATGATCCACTCGAGCTGAGGGCTGAGACCAACATCTGCTTTCAAGGTAGCCAGTGTTCTTTGCCAGTTTTGGACCCTCCCAAGGACACTAGTTGGGGTCCTCAGTAGATTAGAAGGGACCAGCCTGAGGTCTTGAGGATGAAAGTCTAGTCTAGAGGACAAGCCAAGACCACAAAGTGGGTAAAAACATGTGCAAGCCTGGGGTCTCCTCCACCTCAGGCCTCAGTGCCCCAAAGGAATAAGGTTGTGGTGTTCATCTCTGACATTCTGGGCTAGAATTGAAACTTGTAATAAGGAACAGTGGAGTAATCCAGCCCCTAGAGAAGCTATAACGTACCTGAGCATGGAGTCCTGGGAAAGACTTGGGGCCCACTGAGAACACAGGCTGCAGGCTGTGCTGCAAATGGCAGCCAGGTGTGGTGCATGCCTATAATCTCAGCTCTCAGAAAGTAAAGGCACAAGGATCGGGATCCTGTTCATGGCTAGTGAGATCTCATCTCAAATATCCAAAATTATGAAAATAAAAACAGTAGACCACCTATAAGGCCAGTTATCCTGGGTTATATATTCTTCTCTGGTAGAGTGGAATGAGACATGATTGGCAGGCTGTTGGGTCAGGCTTGGCAGTTGACAAAGTATAATGAACTAAGTATGGAGCCAGGAGAGGCCAAGTCTCAAGTGGTGTTGGCTGTAGTTCTTGCCTCCAGTCCACAGACCTGGGTGATCTCAGTCCCTATAAAGCACAGAAAACATCAGAGAGGATCTGGTGGTAAGATGAAGTTACACTTCTGGACTCATGTCCTCCAATAAAAAATAAATGAAAAGTGCCTCTACGCCAGGCTGAGACCATTACCTCCACATTAACTTATAGGTAGAGCTCTATTCAAGATTTTGCTTCACATACCACCACTGCTGTTGGGAGTCACCCAGGGTCAGTGGGTCCCTCCCAGAAAACTGAACTCAGTGGGGCCAAGCAGAAAGCTGAGCCAGGGACCTTCTGTGAGAGTATCTACAGTCCAAGGCCCTGTTGACGAACACCAGAAGAGTTAGACAGAGAAAGGCCAGCCAGAATAAGGAGACTGAGTACTGCTGGGGTGTGAGAATGTGATCTCCTGGACATTTGTCCTGCATGTGAGAATGACTGTCTGTGAGAGTGTGCAGCTCTGCATAAGTCTACTGGTTTTCCTGAAGTCTGACCCCAGCATGCTCGGCTCCCACACGGTAAGTATGCTCAGACCCTTTGCCTTACCCATGAGGCCTGAGGAGGCCTCCATATCTCCAAAGTTGCATTGGTCTCATTTAGCCTCTTGGGGTACAGCAGGGGAAGGAGGGTGAACTGAGACCCCAGTGTCCTCAATAGTTGAGATCCTTTGGACTTACTCTCTGGGAAGTAGAATAGTATGCCAACATTCCACTGGGCTTGACATCTCTACAAGACCCAAGAAAGTCCTGGAAACGCTACCTGGGACTCTGTCCCCCTGCTGTTCCTAGAACCACAGTTCAGCCTGAAGGCAGCAGCCATTGCCTGCCTACACTGCAAAGCCTTTGGAATTGATCCTGGAGACCTAGCCATACCCTCTGGCTTAATCTTTACCCAGTGCCCTCAGACATTGCCTGGCTGGGCCCAATCTACTCCCAGAATGATAAGTATATACTTCAGGAGAGGCTCAGAGTTGAGGGCAGGAATGAAGACACAATTCACAATCCCCTCTCATCTTAATTTGTGGGAGGCCAAACCCTGTCTCCTGGGTGTGTTGAGACCATCACCCTCTACCTCTAGAAGGTGCAGAGACCATCTTATCTCTTCACCAGGCACAAGAAGGCCCCGAGGAAGGTGCCACTGAGCATGAATGCCTTGGTTTTATGCTCTGGGCCCTGTTCTACCCCAGGGGCAGTTGTTCACAGGGTTGGGGGGAGGGTCACATCTCAACCTGCTAACCACCACCCATCTCTCTCCCACTTCAGCCAATGGCAGCCCCACCTCAGGTCTGAGCACGGGTGCCATCGTGGGTATCCTCATCGTCATCTTTGTCCTTCTCCTCGTGGTTGTGGACATCACCTGTTACTTCCTCAACAAGTGTGGCCTACTTATGTGCATTGCTGTTAACTTGTGTGGCAAAGCCGGGCCCGGAGCCAAGGGCAAGGACATGGAGGAGGGCAAGGCTGCCTTCTCGTGAGTACAGACCCATCTGGGCTGATCTGTGGGGTCTAGGCTCTACCCCAGCCCAGGGCCTAGCACCATGCCTTCTATCGGTGCTATGGTAACCTTTCCCTAGGTGGAGACTGAAGGACAAAATCATACAAGCAGGTTTGTCTAAGCATGGCCTTAGGGTGGGGTGGGTTATCTGTTTGAAAAGCAATATCAGGTGCCCACCCTGGGTTCTAGAATCTCATCAAGATTTGAAGATCCCCGAGAAGGCCAGAATAGGACATTTGTCAAAATGGATCCTGGAGAGGAGCTGTGATGGAGAGGCCGCATTAGAGCGACACACTGAATCTTGCTTTCATTCATTCACTTATCATCCTACAGCTACTGAGGGCAAGGCCCTGTTCCTGGCTCTAGGGAACAAAAGGGAGACGAATGGATAAAAACTCCTATCCTCACTGATGAACCAGGTGTTGTTCTCTCCAGCAGCATCTGCTAGTCAGTTAGCAAGAGCCTTTGAAGACCATAGCTGGGTAGGTCTGTGCTGGAACAAGCTAAGAGGGAACGGAGTGAGAGGATAAGTTAATTAGCACCCCCATGTGCCAGGAACTCTCTCTATATAGGCACATATAAGTACACAGGCCTACATGTACATACTTACAAATACATATGTATGCATGCATACATATATATGCACATGTGTTTGCATTTGAGCATCTATCTGTACCAGGTACAGTACTAAGCACTTAGCATGAATTACATTTTTAATTCTCATGATAACTAGGTGAGGTATGTACTATTATTTGCCCTAGTTTGATGACAAAATTGAGGCAGGCCTGATTAGATATTCATGGGCTGGACTGAGGCCTAGATACTAATCTGACCCTAGATGCCCACTCTGCCTCAGGCCAGACCTAGGTACCCCAAGCTGTAGCTTCTTACCCTAAAGATCTTCTCTCCCACAGCTGCCTTGGGATCTAACCCACAGAACTCTCTCCACAGGAAAGATGAGTCCAAGGAACCCATTGTGGAAGTTCGAACAGAGGAGGAACGGACTCCAAACCATGACGGAGGGAAGCACACAGAGCCCAATGAGACCACACCATTGACAGAACCCGAGTACGTGGACCGGGAGGGCCTGGCATCTCCTCACAAGAGACCCACGCCTGCCTGATCACCCTACCCCCACCTTTCCTGCTTCCCACCCTCAGCCCCTGGCCAAACACGACAGCCAGGACTCTGGAGCCCTTGGTCAGAGGACCCCTTGGCCAGACAATGTCTGACCCCACTTTCCTTAGAGGGAAGGCATTCTTGATTCTCCTGGGGTCCCAGTGGGGTGCCCTTCAGAGCCCCTTCAGTAAGTGGGAATCCCATCCTGAGACCATTCCTAAATTCCACACATTCTAGAAATGGCTTACCACATTGAGAGAGGCTCAGCAGATTTCGTTGCAGATTTCTTAGATGTCTAGAATTTTCTGGTCCAGAGAACTTGGGGGCCTGGTAAGGTTTCCTGGCCCTTCTCTGCTCAGAAGCCTTGGGCATCCTCAGAGACACTGACCAGCTGTGTTTTTAATGCTGGCCAGGCTATTAAGGATCTGATGAACTTGAAGGAAATCATTTCACAGAAACACAAGATCTGTGGCTGGATGAGCCCCTGGCTCTCAGGAGCCAAGTAGAGCACTGACCATCCTCCTTCTGGCTAGGGAGAGCTATAAGACAGCTGGTTCAGTTTCTCTGGGACCCAAGAAACCTGCAGCAGATGGATGGTGAACCACAGTTGCCTTCCCTAGAGTGGAGATCTGGGGCAAGCATCAGAGTCCACATGGGTCTATAGGAGCCCTGTGCAGAGAGCTGAAGGAACATCAGCACAGAGGAAGGTCCCTTTGAGACTGCCACGTTCTTTGTCGTCTCCTGTGTCCTCTTCTGCCCGCCTGGGCATGTGCTTCCTCTCTATATCCTCCTTTCTCTGTGGGCCCATGTTCCTGCCTGTGGGTGGCTGCATGCCCACCCACGACTCCTCTCCTTGGCTTCAATCCTCCTATCCAGCTTCTCTGTCATGTCTCGGCTTCATCGTCTATTCTCTCTCTACTTCCTGTCCTCCCCACAGGCTGCCTGCAGACACCACAGCCACTGTTGAGGACATGCTGCCTTCTGTCACCACCGTCACCACTAACTCTGACACTATCACCGAAACCTTTGCCACTGCTCAGAACAGCCCCACCAGTGAGACCACTACACTGACCTCCAGTATTGCCCCGCCGGCCACTGCCGTGCCGGACTCAAACTCTGTACCCACTGGTCAGGCCACCCCTTCCAAGGGGCCTGGTGTCACTGCCTCATCCCCACCCCCAGCCTCAGCCCCAAAGGTCGCCCCCCTTGTTGACCTGAGTGATACCCCGACCTCAGCCCCTGCTGCTAGCAATTTGTCGTCCAGTGTCCTGGCTAACCAAGGAGCTGTACTCAGCCCCAGCACCCCTGCCAGTGCGGGAGAGGCCTCCAAGGTCCCTCCACCCAGCAAGCCGTCCCCTGCCCCAACCCCCACCCCAGCCGGGGCAGCCAGTCCCCTAGCAGCAGCTGCTGCTCCTGCAACAGAAGCCCCCCAGGCCAAGCAGGAGGTCCCAAGCACCAAAGGCCCGGACCCAGAGCCCACCCAGCCCAACGCTGCGAAGAGCCCGCCCGAGGCAGCCACAGCCCCTGCTAGCCCGAAGAGCAGCGAGGCTGCCTCCATCAGCACCACAAACCCTTCCCAGGGCGAGGACTTTAAAATGGACGAAGGGAACTTCAAGACCCCAGATATTGACCTTGCAAAGGATGTTTTTGCAGCCCTGGGCTCTCCTGCTCCTGCCGCTGGGGCCAGTGGACAAGCCCCTGAGCTTGCTCCTTCCACTGCAGACCCCTCTGTGTCGCCTACATCAGCAAAGACCGAGTACGGCCTCTCTTTGTCTGCTGTCGTCGGGTTGTGTCCCCTGGTGGTGTGCGTTTGTGCTGTGCTGTGTTCTCCTTGTTTGCTGTGTCCTCAGCCTCATGCAGGGCTTCTGTGAGGCGACTGTCAGCCAGGGGGCTTGGATGAGTCAGGAGCAGGGGCAGGCAGGATGAGGGAGCAGTTTCTGCTCACTAATTAGGCCATGTTAATTTTATTTCATCCTTATCATCCAAGCTGTGCTTCTGTTTTCCCTGGAGGTGCCCTGCAAGGGGCCACTGATGAATAGAAATTGAGAAGACACCAAGAAGGCCAAGGTGTCATTATCTGCCACCCTGCCACAGTTTATGTGTTATCCAGGGCCAGCCCAGGTCCCCCTGAGAAAGGAATAAAGAGGTAGCCTCTGGGACCTGAGTGCAGGAGGATGTGGTCCACCACCCTGTCACACACAGGCTGAGATGCCCACTGTTTCCCTTCCCTGCTCTAGCTCCTGCCCCGCATAGAATATCAGAGAGGACTGGACACTTCCAGATCCCAAGTTCAAGTGCCCAACCTTCAGGTTTTTTAAGTGTGATGCCAAATGCAGTGGAACCACCTATGGTCTGCACCTGCTCCAGCGCATCCTTAGGCCTGACTCTGGCTGGTGGGACCCATGGAGACAGAGGCACACTTGAGCAAGCAGGCCCAATCTAGCCACTTGCCACCTTGATAACAGTATTTTCTCACCCCTACCCAAGCCACCATAGAAGGACCATGTTGAAACAACATGGGATGCAGGGGCCAGGGAGGGGGACTGTCAGGCAAAAGAGGGGTGGTTTGCAGTAGGGCTGCTTGGAACCGGTACTTGGAGCCCAGCCCAGAATATCCCACTTATAGCAAGCTGAGCTGCTGCCCTTCAACTTGTCAAGGACCTCAACTACCCTATCTCCTACCCTGGGTTAACACAGGTCCCAGTTACCAATTAAGGCTGGAGCAGGAAAGGACTGGTTTTTCCGCTTTGGTGCTTCTTCTCCACCTAGCCACACCTTAGAATCACCTGGATGCTTTTAAAGTCACTGTACCCAAGAGCTCTAGGGACATGGCCCAGGCATCAGTGATTTGTAGAGTTCTCAAGTGATTTCAACACGCATGGAAGGTTAGAGACCAGCACTATGACTAGAGCACCCCTTATTGCCCAGGGGAGCCTGGAGGTGGGGAGGTGTCTCCAGACCTGTAGACTGTGGTCTCAGCAATGCTATTTCTGATTTTCTGCAGGAAGGGCCCCGTAGAAGCAAAGTCGGAGTCCCAGGAATCAGAAGCAAAACCAGCGTCCACCGAAGTCAAGACGGTCCCCAATGATGCCACACAAACAAAGGAGAATGAGAGCAAAGCATGATGGGTGCCGAGCAACTAGCAAAGATCAAAGTGACACAGCAGCTTCACCAGAGCATTCCCAGCATCACACACGCACACACACACACACACTCTCTCTCTCTCTCTCTCTCTCTCTCTCTCTCTCTCTCATCCCTATAGTGTCTTTTGCCTTTAAAAAAAAAAAAGATAAACATGGGATCGCCTTTTTGTAGGTTTCTAGAAAGGGCTCCTTTGTTGCGCACTCAGTTGAAAAGAAAATGAGACAAAAAGGTTAAACCCACAGCCAAACTAGGACACTCCGTTCCCTGAAACCATTAAAAATTAAACAAAAGGACCCCAAATTAAGAATCTAGGAAGCTCAGAAAAAAAAAAAAAAAAATAGGTTCAGGAAGACCGCACTTGATGTTACCCAACTGGCACAGACCAGTTTCAGAGAAATGCTTCCAGGCATTCAGACTAACCGAATGAACCAAGTCCACAGTCTATTTTTATACTTTCAGTCAAGTTCGAACTCTGTAAAACCTCATAAGTAAGTTATACTTTCTGTTCACTTTGTATTTGTTCTGTATGCAGAATGTGTCACCCTTGCTAGCTGAATTCGGTTCCCACATAGACTCCTGTTTCTTAGGAAGAATGCCAAATCTCAGCTTATTCGAATTTCTGTTGCTTTTTTCTTCCACTGTTTCTTTTCTTTACTTTTCTTCCTTTCTTCCAACTTTGCTTTCCAGTGTTTACAAGTTGACAGATGTTTGACTTCTGTTGTGTCTAATGTCCATGTAAAATAGCTGCCTTCTTTTCCTTTAAGCAACAAGTACCGCCTAGAGGCAGGTAGGAGCCTCCCAGGTTGCTCTTAGCACAGGGCAAAGGTTACAAAAGATAACTGTTTACAGTGGCTCTTCCCCCCATTCTGATATGTTGCAGATTTTCCCTGTGTCTAACTCAGGTTAAAATCTGTTTTGTTCTTTAATGGTTTTGCCGTTTGCTTTTTGGTTCTTTTGTTGTTTCTTCAGGGGGGTTAGACCACTTTCTGATTAGCTGCCACCTGCCTGTGTCTGTGACAGTGGACTTGCCTTCCAGGCATCCACACACCCTTCCCTCTGAAGGACTCCTTCGGCTTTGTTGAATGAAGCAGAAAAGATTGTATAGTTGGGGCTGGTCTTGGTGAACACACATTTTTACCCCAAACATCCCCTTTTTGTAGAAAGCCAAATAAAATATATACATACCGTTTCCTTTTGAGCCCAGAATCTAGATTTGAGCGGAAGACCACATGTGCTTCAGGGAAGTAGTGTCTTTTTTTGGAAATCTGTTGAAGTAACATCGGCCTTCTGTTCACTTAGGCAATGTTTATAAAAAAGAAAAAAAACTAAGGAAAAATATACTATCTGGAGTTATAACACAACTTTCCTGGATTGGAAACCAAGTGGGGGGGGGGGAAATACAGAAACTTGCAGGGGGATGGGAGGGGGGAGAAGGGAAAAGCCAGCCCTTTGTATAGAAATTTTGCTTTTGTTTCTCATTCTACTTTAGAACTGCAAGCTTGTACACTGTGGATGCGTGAATATTTTAGTGTGAAACGTGTTTTTGTCATAGTATTGAAATAAAACTTCAACATAGTTTGGTTGTGGAAGGTATAGCAGATAGTTCAGAAAAATTATTCAGGAAACAAAAAAATATCTCAAAAGGAATCAAAGCCTTTAAACAAAGAAAACGAAATACAGATGATGATGATGATGATGATGATGATGATGATGAGGACACTAAGCCAACAGAAGCCTATCCTCAGGCATATATATGTTCCTTTCCCAAGTACAAAGCAACAAGAGGTTAGAGTGGCCAGGTGGCCTCCACCATGTCCTCGCTGTGGGCCACAACTCCCCATGTCCTGACAGTTCTGCAGTGTGATCAATGGCTATGCTAGATTATAATTTCAAACTGTGAAAAAATAATGGTCTTGTCATTTGCTCAATGTGGGGTTATTTTGCATTTTCTCAACTCCTGGGGATGGAAATGGAGGATCCCAGAACACTCAACCTAGCCCCTTTGGTTCTAGGGTCTGCACAGATCCATAGTTCACACGCACAGGCCCTCAGGAAAAGGTCACATGCAGACAACTCTGGGAGCATACAACAACATGGGAGCAGTGGGTGTCTGAGCCAGAGAGGGCTGAGTGCAAGGGACTCGCTCCTCCAGCCACCAGCCTGTCCACTGGAATCTGTTTCCCATGTTGTGATGTCAATGGCTTTTTCCATCTAGGCCAAGGGCACACCATACCTCCTGGAAATGGTGTATTTCACCACATTTGTGGTTAGACAAACTAATTTCACTTCTGATGGTTAGAAAAAGACAGAGGTATAGTCAGCTCTCCAATAACCTGGCCCAGTGTGGCTGAGCCCCTGGAACACTGGCCCACCTTTTGCTGGAACCCGAGACTGCCCACACTTCGATCTGCCTCTCCCTTTACACATTCTTTGTCTCAGCCTGCATGAGTTTTTCTTTCTTCTTCTTTTTTTATTTTTTAGAATACAATCCTTTCTCTAAAATCAAAGAGGGAGTCACTTTATTTTCAAGATGTTCTACCTTTTATGTGAAGAGATAAAAGCTTATAGTTTTCCTTTTTTAAAAAGTTTTTTAAAGGAGGGGTCTACTCCACCAGTTTCAATGTCGATGTGTCTATATGTGTATGTGGCATACATATGTATTCACATAAAGACCAGCATGGCCAAGTTCTGTGGGAAGGCTACCCAGGTGCCACGAGTGGGGTCTCCCAATCCTGAAGGGCCGTGGTGTATATAGTGGACTCTATTTTCACACTTTTCTATGGCACCTCCCACGTCCCAGGGTCTCATCCTAGGCTGTCTGTCTGGATGGTGGTTTATCAGACCTCCGTTAACATCCCTACCCAGCATTCTGTACTTCGGGGGCTTTCTCTCTTGTTATAAAACTTTTTACCAAGTGAAACATCAACACCACCTTTGTTTCCATTCTCACAGGTGTAAATACTGAGTACTAACTGAGAATTTTGACTTTGCATTCTGTCGGAATACTTGTGTTCAATAAAAATTGAAAGAAAAAAAAGCAATTTGGGTCCAACTGGGATTTCTTTCTGTTCAGTGAGAGAATGGTGTTTGAATCAAATGTGGGTATGCCTGTATTTTAGTCTTTATTTTTTTTTGTCCTTATTATTGTTAGGTCAATTATTGTAATCAAGGTCAATTAAATCCAAGTGTCTTAGCCACATGTAGCAGCTCTTGACTGTAATTCTAGTATTTAGTAGGCTGAGGCCAGAGGATTACCATGAATTTGACTCTATGCTGATGTGAGTTAGTGAGTTAGGTCAGCCTGGGCTATAATGTAAGTCTCTCTCTCTCTCTCTCTCTCTTTCTCTCTCTCTCTCTCTCTCTCTC